TTTTGAAGTATTCAGTGTCATCTGGAAACCTTTGGCAATTGATTAGATGCTTGATGGATGATAGGAAAAGTTTCCCCAGTGCTGGTTTTATGGCTTGCTTGTACCACCAGGTGATCTGATCTTTAGTACACGTTTATTCAGTCAGACTGGTGCGTGTTCCCATGCTCTAAAAATAAAGTTTCTAGGACAAAGACTTGCCAACCACCACCCAGGTGGTTCGAGTCAGATTCTTGGCCGACTCACTCCGATACCTTTTCCTAGTTTACTGGCTTGTATTAGCCGTGGAAATGATGGAAGAGTGGGGTCAGGGAGGCCTGGCGACTTCATCTCCTGTGATTGACATCAGCGCCTACCGAAACTTCAAACCGTGTAAGGTCTAATGTTCCACTCGGAACGAAAAGAAATGATGAAGACAAAAAAGAAAAGTAATCAACCAAATCCCTAAAAACCAATACTTGAATATCAATGAGATGCTCACTGGCGACTGGCCCTATTCAGGTAGGTAGTTACCTGGGGTTCCAGTGGGAAGTCGTGACCAGTAGGATGCAGCAGGTCAGGTGTGAAGACAAATACTCGCCGAAGACATTGGCTAGCGGTTGCGCTATATCGTGAATTAGCAGAAGTTAGAATTCATAGGCTATTGGATCGAGTCCCAGTGGCTTAATGGTATCCGAGCCCGCCTTGTAACCAGAAGGTCCTGGGTTCGAACCCCGGTGGGGGCATACTGATTGAAGAGTCCCAAACTAGGACGGAGGCTTTCCAATGGTCTCTTTAAGCAATGTCAGCTCATGATGAAATCCTGTAACCAACGGTTAATTTAACTAGCTCCACAAGAGCAGTGAAATTGAAAGGTACAAGGTGCTTCGTCTGACAGTTTTGAAATCACAGTCGATCGTGTAGGAAATATGAACTACAGCTTACCGACATTCAAAGTTCTTTGAGTTGATTTCTTCTCATTTTTCGGTGATTACTTCAATGTATATCTACAAATTTAGTTGCTCCTGTGGAGAGAGCTGGCTATATAGGGCGAACAACTAGACAGCTTAACAAATGCATTAATGAGCATCTTCCTTCATTGTTCGGAATAGGCCAAATAAAATCTATAAGAAGTTCTATTTTGGCTCATTTGATTGCTGACAGCTGTCACCAAGTGGACAGAAATAGTGCCTTCAAAGTTATCTATCCTAGTCTTTGCATACAAAAGAAGTTTGTTCTACCTTTGTCTCTCCCTTGGCCTGGGTGAATTCTATTCAAACCCTCCCGCGCTTATTTTCCATTTCCTTCGTACTTTTATGATATTTATTTAAACTCTGATTATATGTCCACTTCACCTTTAGTATTACCTAACGTTTAAGATTTAACCTAATTTATTTATCGAATTGTCTACACGTACACATATTACTACCACCTGCGTAAACCTTATTATCATTATTTTGTTATCATTATAATCATCGTTATTAATGACGTTCAAAACATCTACCACACTATTATTATTACTTGATCCACAAAATCACCGTCATTGGTTAAAAATTTCTATAAATAAGTCTATGTAAATTAGAGTAAAGCCTGAAGATCTAATTGAAAACAGCAATATTGTTCGGTTATTACTTCATCATCACCTTTGAATCGAAATCGCATGTGCTACACCAAAGGCTTATTGTTCGACAGACACAGAGCACTTCTCTTTTCGAGAACTGGAGCCCCTACCCCCTCCACATACGGGAGAAACAGGTCCAACCACTACTGTTACCCTGTCCTGCTGTGGAATCTATAAATTCTATATTACTGTACCGATAGAAGGCAAGAGTCAGGCAACAGATCATTTATTAAGGAAATCAACGCATATTTATATATTTCATGTACATTGCTACAAACAAACACAGTCTTCCGATTGGTTGTTTCTCACGTAAAGTTAATCTTTCATCTATTTGTGACTGTTTCTTGAATGTCAAATCCTCTATATGCTCACTGCATCCACCTACGCAAAGTCTGCTGTGGTTGGTTTTGAATCAATCTTTGTTCACATTTTCTCACGACAAATCTTGGGAACGTGAATATTGACGTAAAGTACTGTCTACCAAATTGGCTAGTAGACAGCTCTCACCACATTACAACTTTTCTTAATTTTTTTGATAATGAATTTAGTGTTATACTTATGCATATTATTATTATTATTATTATTATTATTATTATTATATACAAGCATGTTCTGGGCTATATTCTATTGATCCTAAGGATTAGATGTTATTTACGGAAAAAGTAATAACGTTGTCAATAATACTCGTTCATACCCTCTGCCAGCTAAGTCTTATTCTATGCCTTCGTGTGTCGAGGATTTTCCTCAGAAAAGTATGAAGGCTGGTGTGAACACGTCTGTTGCTTACAACCGGACTAGGAGGGGGATCTGGAAAACCCTGATTCCAAACGTGTAGTGCATATAGGCTGTAGAATCCGAACGGGTAGAACAGTGTATAACGTATGAACCTGTTTTAGATGCTGATGACAACCCAGGGAACGCTGCTCCACTACTGTATCGACCAGACTTGAAGTCAAAGACTCGTGTAAGAGTGGCCCTTTAAAACAGACACCTGCCTCGGTCTGAGCGTCAGGGGCAGTATCCCAACCATCGCGTAAATTATGATATTTTGTATGGTGGAACTCTTGGTGCCCTCAATGTACTAATTTCAATAACGCTAATCCGTTACAGGATTTCTTCATGAACTGACATTGGTTAGAGAACCATTGGAATATCTAACAGAGAGAGTACTGGGCGGCTGTTTTGTCCATGGGGTTAGAATCCAGCACCTTCCGGTTACGGGGTGAATGAGTAAACCGTTAAACTGCTGGGACCCGTTCTAAAGGTGTATGGTCTACTAGTTCGTCTTGTAACCGGAAGGTCCTGGGTTACATCCCCGTGGGTGAGAAGCGCTAAAGTCTCTCCAGATTTGGACGAAACAGCCGCCCAGTACTCTCTCTGTTAGATTTTCTAATGGTTTTCTAACCAATGTCAGTTCATGATGAAATCCGGTAACCAATCAAAATACCGGCATATCAACACTGGAATAATTCTTCAGTTATATTATAGATATATGATTACGGAACCTGATGAAGAAAAAGCTATCGAAAACAGTATTTTTTGTTCACTAATATTAATCCTTTAAGATTGATGATGGTCATCTTTAGTCAACAGACACCCCTCGTATGTTCAGTCTCGTTGTTTCATATATATCAGTCAACTCCTAGCTTAGTGATAGGGAGTGAAGTGATAGAACATGTTGACCACTTCACCTATTTCGGAAGCTGTATCAGCACCAACGGATTGATTGGTGACGAAATCTCAGCACGGATCCAAAAAGCTCGAGCTGCTTTCGCTAACTTACACCATCTCCGGCTATCAACCAAGGGACGTGTGTACTGCTCAGCAGTTCGCTCCGTCCTTCTCTATGGCGGTGAGACGTGGCCATTGAGAGCGGAAGACATGAAGAGATTGTGTGCTTTTGACCACAGATGCTTACGATCTCTTTCTCGCGTTAGGTGGTATAATAAGGTAAGTAATGTTGACGTTAGGCGTAGAGTGTTGGGCAAAGAGGGAAAATCACTCGAAGAGGCTATGAAGTTACATAGATTGAGATGGCTAGGTCACGTGCTGCGCATGCATAACCACCGTCTCCCCCGACGGGCATTACTAGCTGATATAGATGCAGGTTAGAAAAGAGTAAGTGGTGGCCAAACAAAAACATGGCCTCATCAATCCATGAAATCCTTGACAGTTAAACTGAGTCAGGTAGGGAAATGCAGACTTCCAGGTTGGGGCTCTCGGGACTAAGAATCAATGGCTGGAGACAATAGGTGACATGGCTCAAACTCATCGTTGTCAATGGCTTACGCAGATGTATTCAGTCTCTTTAATCTTTCATATTCCTTCCTACCATTACTCATTCTGTTCCACTCTTATGCTTGTCAAAACTCTATTGATTCTCTTCACTCATCTTCTTGTCTACCTTTGTGTGCTATTTGGAACGTGGCAACTCGAACTTCTGCACTTCGGTGCCAAGTTCTATGTTGAATCCAGACATATATCAATCTGAAATAGATAGTAGTGTTTGGAGTATTGAATATTTATTGGTTCCACTAAGGAGTCTATTAGATGCTTGGAGGCAGTCGGAGGGAATCCTTAGACGTAGGTTTCGTGCCAGTTGGCAGTCGTCAGTAAGGCGTACCTGTAACCTTGAAGGAACTCATATCCCTTCCGAGATTCAAACCCTTGTCACATAGTAGACGCTAAAGGTAGAGACGTTACAACGGAGCTATTGGAGCTTGCAACTGACCTCCTCTAGGACTGTATTGGATACTTTTGGTTGGACAGTAGTTAACGTAATGTATGTGTAGTCCTTTGTTGCAGGCTGAATTCTATCAGTCAAGTCTGCAACGTGGCCACCATGCCACTTGGCGACTCTCCGTAACAGTGCACTGTGAACTGTTCGGTCGGTCGGTCGGTTTTCGACATAGAACTTTGCACATATGTGTGGCAGTTCAAGTCGCCACACTTCACTCAGCACACAAAGCAAGAGAAGAAAGTAGGAGAAATGCATAATATAGACAATAAACAGAGGTGTGAGACAAAGGAATAGTAATAACGGAGAACAAAACATAAGTCACTGTGAACTGTTGGTATTAGATGGTTGGAGGCAATCGGGAGGGGAAGCCTTACCTGACGTAGGTTTCGTGCTAGTTGGCACTTATCAGTAAGCAAACTTGACTGATCGAATTCAGTCTGCACCGAAAAAATTGGACTAGACACATTCCACTAGATTACTGGCTAGTGTCCAATCAAAGTATACTGAGGAGACTTACTGTATGTTCAAAGCTTTGCATGAAATTTACTTAAGGCGGTAAACTGCTTGTCGCATCCTATAAATTAACGTTTTTGTATAAGCAATTCAATTGTTCCATTGTTCTTCTAAACATATATATTTTTTTATATTTTCTGTTTTCTAACAGTATGCATGTTATGCAATTGGTAAAGATGTTCAAGCAATGAAAGCTGTAGTCGGTGAAGAAGCTTTAAGTGCAGAAGATCTACTCTATTTAGAATTTTTAACAAAATTTGAGAAAAACTTTATTACTCAAGGTAAGTTGGACAATTTAAACTTGTCAACTTAAAAAAAATTTTAAGCCAATGAGTGAAATTTGTTGTTACTGTTGTTGTTGCTATTGTGAGAATGAGTTATAGTGGTGGTGGTGGTGGTGGTGGGTTTACTGTCAAATCATGGGTGTGGTTTATTTTACAAGCATCTTTGCATGCATGTTTTTGTGAGTTATATAGAAGACTGACATACTGCATGAGTCATAGTGCTTTAACAACGTAAATTGCACTTTGCAAAAAGTGCAGTAATTCAAGTTGTCACACTCTATATTATAGTACGCAAAAGTAGTAAAGAAATTCGATTATTTTGAGTCGTCTCACTGACAGTCTCAAGCCATTGATTTTTCACCGTCTGGAGGATAACGACAAGGCAGCTTACAACCCCCTACATGACTCATAGCAACAGTTAATCATTTCATGGAATGATTCCATATTTTGATGTGATCACCCTTAACACCACTTCCCTTGGTTTCCGAGTGGGATACAGGGCTTCAACAACATATCTCCGCTTTCTTTTATTCTCTGCCGTCTTCTTCAGCTGGCTAGCTCCACGACTGCCCATAATCTCTCATCTCCTCCGTGTCACCCGCACACCGATGACCCACTTGTCGCTTCCCATTTGGATTCCATTCGAGTGATGGCGTGCATTGAGCACGATGTCATTTGACGGTCTCCTCAGCGTATGCTCTCCCCATCCATCTCCATTTTCTTGTGCATATTTGTTGCTCAATCGGCTCTCACCCGTTGGTTTGTTCCCAGTCAGAGTTTTTTGTTGTTAATTCTTTGTGGCCAACTGGTCATTTGATCTTCAGTATGCAGCCAACCGGCCAATGTGCCAGCTGTTGATAAACTTCTGCAGTGGCTTGTTGGAAATCCTTTTTGTGACGTGAACGCAAGAAGAACTGACTGACAGGCTTCAGATTGGTGTTGAATAGAATCCGAATCTTGTTGTTTATGCTGAGGTGGAGTGCAGTGCGGAAGATTTTCAAACTGTTTTCAGGTTGAGGAAGGTGTATCTTGCCTTCCCGATTCTGGTTGGCTGGTTGGCTGGCTTTGACATCTTCATCCGTTTCGACTGCCTGTGGTTGAAGCTGTGCTTCCTGGCTGGATAAGTGAAGGTAGGAAGTAACCTATATCAAATCTCTCCCATTGATGGTAATTGGTGCTGGTTGTTGTTGCTGTTGGTGGTGGTCGGTTGGTTAGTTATCTTCATCACCTCCGTCTCCACCTTCTCTATGTCCATCTACAGTCCTGTCTTTGCTGGCTTCTTCTTCAACCAGTGTGTTGGTTTCCACCTTCCTGCAAGTCTTCGAGTTCTTGTGACATTAGACATAAACCATCCACACGCGAAATCCAGACCTTCTAGAGTCTCTTTATCGGTCTGTGCAGGATATTCCTGTCTTCTCATTTCCAACCCATTGTGTGACGTATACTCCAGTCAGTTCACCACAATCAAGAATATCTTTGGTGATAATAGACAGACAGCTAGCTAGCTTGTCTTACTCCTGTATTCACTTTGAACACCTTGCTGAGTTTTCCTCTGTGGATCACCTGACACTTGGCATTGTCATATAGCTGTGGTTGAATGAGATTGATAAAGATTTGGGGTAATCTGTAGTGTGGCTCAGCCATCTTGAGTAATATAGCGTCACCACCTTATCAGTTCACTCTACGCTACGCTTAAATCTGAGCTGAGTATTACTCACAATATTGTACCACTTAACATGGGAGACTGAACACAGATATCTGTGGATAAAGATAACTAGCCGTTTCATGTTTTCCACTTTCAATGACCATGTCTCACATCCCTAAAGAAGATTCATGTTAAATAGTGATTCAATTTGGAGAGTTATTTGATATCCCTATTTAATCAACTGAGTTGTAAGATAGTAAGGACGCACTTTTCAGAGGAAAGAAATCGAATCACATAAAATATCCTGACTCACATTTCTATGATTTAATAATTCCCATTGTAGCATTAAGAACACAATATTCAGAACAACACATTTAAGCGAGCAATATTGTTGTTTTCAATTAGATCTCATCAGGCTTAACTCTAATATATATAAGTTCACAAATAAAAATTCAAATATAAACCAGTCATGTTGTTTTGTCTATAGGAAAATACGATGGTGAATATAAATTGTGCAATTAGTCATAATAGTAGTAATGATAATAATAATAATAATAGTAATAATAAGAATGGTCTTACCAATAATAAGGATGAAAAAGTGAGGCAATCTGTGATAACACGAATAATGAAAAACAGCATGATTAAACAAACAACTGTTCAGGTGGAAGTAGTCGATAAAGGCTAATAAAAACAAATGAACCGATTAAGTATTTTCAGATTGTAAAGGAAGTAAATAAAATACGTTTTAATGAAGATAAGATTAAGGGATGATAAGAAAGGGGATGAAAATACAAACAAAGGGTGGTGTAGAAGTTATTAGTTGGTTACGTCTTAATAGGCCAAGGGAGGGATAATGGCTGTACGAACTTTTCTTGAATACATAGTTTAGGTTTAATAGTTCGAATGCCTATCGCCTCAGCTGTGTGTAGTAGACGAATACGAAGTCTATTGGAAAGATTCGGTGGGATACGATGAATCACTTTGAAGGCTCTCGTTTTCTCGATTACATGACCACTATCAATTAAGTGTGACAAAATTGAGCTACGGATTGTTTTTGTCTGTCCTTTGCCAAACCACGATGGGAGATGCTCACTAACACGTTGGCTAACAGTTGTTTGTTTAATCATGCTGTTTTTCATTATTCGTGTTATCACAGATTGCCTCACTTTTTCATCCTTATTATTGGTAAGACCATTCTTATTATTACTATTATTATTATTATTATCATTACTACTATTATGACTAATTGCACAATTTATATTCACCATCGTATTATCCTATAGACAAAACACAATAATCAGCGAAGACACTCTTTTCAACGAATTTATTATCAAGCTGTACAATCGTACATATATATGGGTTTTTTATCAGAAATTATATCCGGTGAGGGAACTAGATCAAAGCAGTGAATACATGAAATAATAATAGTAGTAGTATGAAATGCAATTAAAATATTTGTGATTATAATCATAGTTAAATGTCAAGTAGCAAAACAATTAGTGTCATATATAGAATAATTCGTAAGATGTATAGATGTTGAAAAGAGGTGCATAATTATAGGATTAGTAGGCGAATATAAAATGTTACATAACATGGTGTAAAATTTGATACGATAGAAATCAATATTGTAAAAAAATAAAAATTTTGGATTTAGAATGACAAGTGGGACAAGTGGAAACAATTCAGGGTGAGAATAGTAATAATAATAATCATAGAAATGTGGGAAAGGTACATAGATTAACTAAATAAACAAAATTTGTAATGAATTGTCAAAAGTTAAAATTCATGGGCCATTGGATCGGGTCCTAGTGGCTTAATGAGCTACGAGCTCGCCTTGTAACCAGAAGGTCCTGGGTTCGAACCGTAGCGGTGGGTACGTACTGATGAAGAGTCCCAAACTAGGTTAACGAAACAGATGTCCAGTACTCCCAGCTGGTTTTCCAATGGTTCTCTAACTGATATCAGTTCATGATGAAATCCTCCAACCAGTCAAAATAAATAAATAAATGTCTATCCCTCTACGGTCAAGGCAGAAGTAGGGATTTTACATACTTGTTTTGTACACAAAGGTCTGGCTTAAATTCATGAATGGCCAAGGCGTCCTCTGTCTTCAGAAGTTTAGGACGAAGAAAACACGGCAAGTTAGCATGGATTCAGTAGATGATCTTAAGATCATCGTCAATCATGGTTAGTAGAGTGACAGGAGTCGATCAGGTGTTCTAGAATACAGAGCTTCGCATACACATTCCCTTTCTCTTTTGTAAAACCCTGCTGGAATCGGTCGGTTCGGTCGGTTTTAGACATAGAACTTTGCACATATGTGCGCCAGTTCAAGTCGCCACACTCCCTCCTTGTAGCACACAAAACAAGAAAAGAAAGTAGTAAAAATGCATATTAGAGACAGTAAACAGAGGTGTGAGACCAAGGTATAGTTATAACGAAGAACATAACAGTTTCATTGGAAATCATAAGTCACAAGAAGTGGATGCATCTGCGCCACTGAGAACGATTTTGAGCCATGTCAAAAATTGTTTCCAACCATTGGTTGTTACCGTCCCGAGGACCCCAACCAGGAAGTCTACACCTTTCTACGTGGCTTAGACTAACTGTTGTAGATTTCATTGACTGGTGCCATGTTTTGGTTTGACCATCCCTAGCTCTTTTCCAGGCTGACCATATATCAGCTAACATTGCCCGTCGAGGAAGACGATGACTAGGCATACGTAGCACATGTCCTAAGCATCTCAGGCGATGTAATTTCACAGTCTCGTCTATTGATTTCCCCGCCTTACCTAGCACTCGACGCCTCACCTCAATATTGCTCACCTTATTATACCACTTCACACGGGAGATAGAACGCAGACACCTATAATCGAAGACAGCTAATCTTTTCATGTCTTCTGCTCTCAATCGCCAGGTCTCACAGCCATAAAGGAGGAGGAGGAAGAATATGTTCTCGTATCCGTCTAGAAAATGTCCTGTTGCTACTGCCAGTATACTTTGCTCCACAATAGCAGGTGAACTGTGGTAGATGCGCATGAAGGCGATCAGGCAGGGGACTTCATCTTTTACAGAGATGGAGAACAACTTGCAGCTGGTGAACGTCATTTGTAATTTCTATTTTTTTTCCTATTTTTCTAATTTTTGCTTATTCTCTCTCTCTCTCTCCTTATTTTCCTTTAGGTGCATATGAAAATCGTAGTATATTTGATTCATTAGACATTGGTTGGGAATTACTGCGTATATTCCCAAAAGAATTATTGAAACGTATACCTGCAAAAATATTAGAAAAGTATTATCCACGTTAAAATGCGCGCACACACATGGGGGAACACAAGCTCAGTGAACACTGTCTATCCATCGTAGATGTTGTCAGCCAAGACAAGTTATTAATATTACTATTATTATTGGCAAAGTCATTTTGTAGTATGTTTCTTTTTTTCTCTCAAAAATTTTCAAGCATTCCAAAATTGTTTTCTTCGGTACTTGTAATACTCTAGAATCTTGTCCTTTTATTCCCTTATTTACCAAAATCAATAATTACACTGTGATGATTACTCTCTCTCTCTGTCTCTCATCTTTCTACCTTTTTTATCTCCACGACTGAGTGACTGACCCAAGCGACCGCCCTCCTCGCGCAGTCTATCATGTTTCTCTTCACCTTTTTTTTCTGCGTTTATTTATTCCCTTTTTTTTTGTCGTCAAGATGAAAAGAATGGGTTCAAAGCATAATATTATTATTATCTTGATATATATTATTTATTTAAAGTTATGAAAAAGTCGTATTGGTGGTGGTGGTGGCGCTGGTGCTGCTGCTGGGGAGGGTTTATGGGAGGGAGAGGGAGTCTTATTTATTATTATTATTAACGTTGTCTGGAGTTATTTTGTTCTCTTTGTTTTCTTTTCTTTTGATTTCATCTGTATATTTCTACAGGGTTGTCTCTTCTTTGAATACTTTAAAGATAAAATAAAATTGAAATCTATATATGCATATTATATGTGTATGTATTCGAGTCTTTGTTGCTCTGTGTTCCGAGTGGAGGGAAGGGACTTATAATAGGGCTGCCAAATGTAAGTTTGACAAAGGTGAGTGAGGATTAGAGAGGTTTCGCGTGCACTTCGGATTGTGAGGGCGATTGTTGCTTCCCGGCTGCCCACACCGTGGAAGTTGGTTGCGTGACCGCAGAGCCCAGGGGACGACTGCTTGAGGCCGGTCACACACGGCCTGTTTTTGTTTGTTCTTTTTCATTTGGTGTGCCTCAATAGCATATTTATCACTTCTGCCCTGTGACACGGCAGCAGAAAGCGCGGTCGTTGTTAATCCGGGCCCCAACCGATCCTGCATGATATTTTGTGATTTATTTGAAGTCATAGGATTGGATTGGGTAACTGCTTTTAGTCTAACCGCTATCCAAACAACCTTTCTGGCATGGTAGGACCTGCAGGATAGCCAGTATAGCTTTTGGATCATTGCGGTGTTCGAGCCCGACCACCACGTCAAGGTAGCAGCTTTCGGTCTACCTGTCTACCTTTGTGTGCTATTTGGAACGTGGCAACTCGAACTGCTGCACTTCGGTGCCAAGTTCTATGTTGAATCCAGCAGCAGCAGCAGCAGCCAAATCTAAGCGTTGAAGCTTTAATAGCAGTGGGGTTACACTAGGCTGACGCTCAATCTTCTGTTTTTTTTTTTTCCAGTTAGGCTTACTGTTGGCTAGTTAAGGTAGTTAGGTAGATATGGGTGAGGTTCGGGAGTATCGTTGTCGGTCGGGAATCGAACCCCAAACCATGTGCAGTCTGTCTGGGTTCAACATGGAACTTGGCACCGAAGTGCAGCAGTTCGAGTTGCCACGTTCCAAATAGCACACAAAGGTAGACAAGAAGATGAGAGAAGAGAATCAATAGAGTTTTGACAAGTATAAGAGTGAAACAGAATGAGTAATGGTAGAAAGGAATATGAAAGATTACAGAGACTGAATACATCTGCGTAAGCCATTGACAACGATTTTTAGCCATGTCACCTATTGTCTCAAGCCATTGATTCTTAGAGTCCCGAGGGCGGGCCCCAACCTGGAAGTCTGCATCTCCCTACCTGACTCAGTTTAACTGTCAAGGATTTCATGGATTGATGAGGCCATGTTTTTGTTTGGCCACCACTTACTCTTTTCCAACCTGCACCTATATCAGCTAGTAATGCCCGTCGGAGTGGGGGAGGCGATGGTTAGTTATGTGCAGCACGTGAGCTAGCCATCTCAATCTATGTAAAAACCATGTGCAGTAAGGGATGATTAGAGGCCCCTGGTTGTGGACAGATAAAATACCGTCTACAAACATACACATCGTCACCCCAAACTCGTTCCTCCTTTTACATCAGCTTTAGCTGGTCTTCTAGTAGGATTATACGGTGGTTAATATAAGGGTGCTGTTTCACCGCTTATATATATGTACCCACAGTGTTCGCCTCAATCTTGCCATCGAAATAGCTCAGACATCAATCTTTTCACGGCGAAGTTCAGCAATGGCGTCCTAGGAGTACGAACGCTCCAGTGGCCTTGAACGCATGCTAGTCGTTGACTGACGACACCTGTCATTATGAAAGCTGAAATATCCACGCTATTCACCAACTAAGGAGCAAATTTTACTCAGATTACGTTTTTAAGTACTGTTTCGACAATGTGTTGATATGTCGTTAGGGTTAGGAGTGGGGTTAAGTTAAGCATTGGGGTTAGAGTTAGGATAACGGTCACAATTGGGATTAGGGCTAGTTTTGCGGTCAGGATTAAGGTTGGGATTACGATCAGGGAGAAATTTAATTTTGTCTTATTATCCACATTTTCCTGTTTAGTAGTCGTCGATCCTCTTACTGAAAACCACAGTAATCCAACCGTCAGCTTTCGGGGAAGACTGCACAATAGGAGAAGAGAGATAAACGATTCACAGAAACAGCTCATCTTCAGTCATCTCGGTGAATGAACATGTGCATATGCCCGAGAGGTAAGGTTTGTGTACTTAGAAATGAACGTTTCAGTGTCTAGCATCTCTTTCCTAGTGATACAATAGTTCTTTTCTACGTTCGCCTCAATGTATCCCATCGCTGCGAACTTTAGATAATACATCGTCAGTGGTTATTTGAATAGCATTGGTGTCTAAGGTATGCTTACCGGCTTTTGAGGGATGTATCTTTGATGGCTAAAGTAGGCGCCGAGTATAGTGAATCTTTCAGGATAGATTGAAAGTATAGTCATAATTCCCTGTTCACATGGAAGGAATATTTCTCCAAGTTAACATTTGTTAATGGGCTAGCAATTTCCGAAGCATTATGCCTGTGAACTACCGAGGTAATTTTGTGGTGGGAGCTGTCTGCTAGCCAAAATTGTAGACAACAATTTACGTCAATATTTACGTCCCGAACCGGGGTGATGAGATAAAAGCAGTAACAAAACCTAACGTTGAGGAACTCAGCACACTTAGCGTGGGCGGATACGATTCGCAGATATATGGCTGGAATGACTAAGAAACGACAACAAAGAGATGAAAGATTAACTTTCAGAGAGAAACAACCAATCAGAAGACTGTGTTTTTCTGCTAACAATAATCTATAATAATGTACATGAAAATCTATAAATATCTGTTGATTTTCTGAATAAACGATCTGTTGCCTGGCCCTTATCTTCTGTTGTTACAATTTTAGCGTTGGTTCTTGAAAATTACTCATCCAAACATGAAAATGAACAAAGACTTCAGCGAACAGTCTCTTTTCGACAAATTCATTCACTTAGTTGTGGTGAATAAGTCGAGATTTTAAATAAGGGGGTGGGAGGTAGTTTGAAGACCAGTTCGTTTAGACTAGGGTTGCGTAATATGAAAACATCCAGGAGAAATTGGATGTTAATGAAAGAGTATAGAGGCGAGTATCAAAATAAATTGTGTAGTAGGTGAAAAGAGTAAATATAAGTTTAGTTAAGGAATGACCATTCTAAATGTCATACGAAAAATGCACAAAATACTATTAATAGCAAAATAATGATAACAGTTGAGCTTAGAATCACATCCAAGATAGAATGGAGGAGGGGATGGAGAAGTTACTTCTGTGTACATAAATCAGGGTTTCGTAAAGAATTTTCCTTACATATATTAAGTGAACAGTATTGAATATATGTTCAGTTGTATAGTACTCCTTATTGATCCACTGTTGGGTTTTCGTAGCCAAGTGGGATAATGCTCTTTGACTGTTTGAGATAAAATACGCATTGTGAACGACCTACATATCTGGCTCCACATGAGCAGGTGAATTGGTAGATAGACATAGAAGTTGTCGATAGTTTATCTTTGGAGATGTTGAAGAACCTTGAGCGGCAAGACGATACCAATCGTAAAGTGGGAGCGAAGGATGTTTTTTCTCAAGGCTTTAAATATTCTCTTCTTTATGGGTGGGTGGGCCAGAAGGTGGTCTTTGAATGCTACATTCATGTATAGCATCCTCTTCTGCGCAGAGGTTGGAGGTGTTCTTTGTTGATTTTGGGCTTAATGTGTCCATCTATAAAGCTTGACGGGTAATGATATCGTCAAAAGAGTGATCTCTTCATCTACTGATTTAGAGCTGCGGGTTCTTCAGGTCCTAGTCACAAGAGATAATATCAGCTATGCTCGTCTTGCAATCAATGAGTACCCAGCTGTAAAACTTTGTCAACTAGGCGTATTCGTGAACAGATTGGTGATGTTAACATATATGTGTTTACTCGTTAAGGCAAAAGGAATTGGAGGAATGAGAATAATATTAATAAAGGGAATTCAGTATTAAAATCAAGATATGTATGTGGTAACATCTACTCTACTCAATGGGTATAACTTCACAACCCAATTGATTGATTCCCTCTCCTTACCTAACACTCGACCAATGGCCAACCTCAATATTGCTCACCTTATTATACCACATAACATAGGAGATAGGACGCAGCCACCTATGATCAAAGATAGCTAGGCTTAACATATTTTCCACTTTTAATGGCCATGTCTCAGCCAGTCATAAAGGAGGACAGAGTAAACTGCAGAGCATTACATGGGGCCTTTGGTCGACAGCTAGCCGGATATCATGTCTACTAAGCCAGAGATGGCGTGAGTTGGTTATAAAATGGCAAACGAGCCTTCTGTATCCTTGCTGAGATTTCGTCAGCGATCAACCCGTTGTCGCTGGGTGATGCAACTTCCCAAATAAGTGAAGTGGTCAACACGTCCTACTAACCACTTCACTACTCATCTTTAAGCTAGGAGTGAGTGAGTCGATGTAGTTCAGTCCTGTAATCTCATCATCTTGCATTAAACGGCAACAGGTGAATCGTATGTAAAACATTCGCATATTGCTGCTGCTCAATGTGTCCAGAAGACTGCATTTTGTTAGTGTCTTCACCTAGAAGGCCTATATCATCTGCATATTCTAAGTCATTAAATTACGCCACTATTCAGCAGTGTCATCTCAACTCAAGCACCGATGAATCAGCATAAATGGGAAATCATAGATCATCACTGGCTGGATGTTGATATTGTTCATCCATAATCAAAACGTCTCTGAGTCAGTACTCATCAAACTGAGTGAGCTTATTGTTGAAGTACTGATGTGCAATTCTTAGAGGCCTTCACTCAGTTCATAATGAAATTCCTGTCACACCTGAAACCACCAAAAATTTCATGAATTTTTTCGACATTAGACACTTGTGAATAGAATTCTAGTGTCTTGAAATTTGAGAATAAACTTTGTCATAGAGGCGTATAGTAAGGATAAAGTAGTGAGACATAATATCTATTGTTTTTCATACTGCTTGAGATTTACAGTAATTACTCCTAAGTCTTGTATGTGTCACTTTAAAAATATCAGCATTTAGCATCGTTACATGTTCAGTGTCTAACTGACTGACAACTTCAGTTTCATGCATGCTCAGAGATTTCCAATAAGTGAGGTTAAATCAAAACAAAGGTGTTT